CTCTTTCCCGTAAAGAGGAAATGATGCCTAATGAGAATAGGACAAGCAGCAGTGGGCTAAATTGGACAAAGTCCAGCTCATGGTAAAGAGTAAGAAAATTATTTTCAGAATTATCTACCCAATTGTCTTATAGGGGTAGTCAAACCTACATCAGCTGAGATTTTTAAGAACTCGTTGAATGTTTTTAAACATATATTTGTCTAAGTATAATTGATCCTGCCATAGAACAGAGGGATGGACTAATGACTTTTTTCAGTTCTGTTTTATCTTGGTTTATTAGTCTTACACAGTCTTAAGAATTTATTGTTTCTATTTACCTTACTGTTGAATGTCTTCTCAGCTATTTTTTTATTTTTCTTTTGTAGACGCAGACATCAGTGAGTCTGGTATTTCCGTTAGAAGCACTGGTTCAGCTGCTTCTATGACTAGCCAAGGTGAGCGAAAGAGGAGGACACTTCCACAGCTTCCCAAAGAGGAGAAAGTGAATGAAAGTGCAAAAGCAAAAACTGCATCTCATCAGAGATCAGAAATAGGTGAGAAGCAAGACACTGAACTTCAGGAGAAAGAAACTCCAGCTCGTGCCGCAGATGCTGACAGCAGAAGTATAGCTAAATCAAGCAGAACAATGAATGGTCTTTCGCCCAAAGCTACTGGAGACAAAGTTTTTTCTTTCCCCAGCTCTTCCAGTAAAGAGAGAGTTGAAACTGGCAGAGAAACTTCTGTGGTAAAACAAGCTCTAGCAAAAATTCAACAACAAGAAAGAAAGGAGCAAGGACACTGGACACCCACAAAACTATCCTCTACAAAATCTGCTGCAAACCAGGTTGAGAAAGGTAGGGAGGAAATTGCTATGTCACCCAAAACTTTGGATAATCAAGACAAAGCTCCTGGACATGTTACAGACAAAGCAGAAATGAAGTTGGCACAAAGTGAGGGGAAAAGAAGAAAAAATGAGGAAACAATAAAAGGGCAAAGTCCTAAAGTATCTGGAGGAGAAAAAAAGGAAACTTCAAAACCATTAGTTAGGCAAGGTAGCTTTACTATAGATAAGCCTAGTACAAATATACCTATAGAACTTATTCCTCACATTAATAAGCAAAGTGGATCTGCTGCCCCTTTAGCATCTGCAAACAGGTTACGTGACAGAAGTGATTCAATGGACACTGATTCCAGTTTAGATACAACACTCATTTTAAAAGACACAGAAGCTGTAATGGCTTTCCTTGAAGCTAAATTGCGTGAAGAAAATAAAACTGATGAAGGTCCTGAGACTCCTAGCTATAACAGAGATAATTCCATATCACCAGAATCAGATGTAGATACAGCCAGCACAATCAGTCTTGTTACTGGTGACAGTGAGCGAAAATCCACACAGAAGCGGAAGAGCTTTACAACCTTATATAAAGACAGATGTTCCTCTGGTTCCCCTTCAAAGGATGTTTTAAAATCTTCTGCAACAAGTGCCAGAGAAAAGATGGAAAAGAAAACTAAAAGTCGATCTTCAGATGGTGGGTCTAGAGCTGATGCTCGCAAAACTGTGCAATCCAGTGGAAGAATGAGACAGCCATCAGTAGATTTGACAGATGATGACCAAACATCTAGTGTTCCTCATTCTGCCATTTCTGACATCTTATCATCTGACCAGGAAACCTACTCTGGCAAATCACATGGAAGAGTTCCTTTTGCTTCAGCAGATGAACTTTTGCATTCCAAAATGGAAGGAAAGTCAGCTAAATCAAAAACCTCTCCTGTTGCACTTGGGCAATCTAGTAAATCTACCACTCTTCCTAGACCTCGTCCTACAAGAACTTCTCTCTTGCGCAGAGCGCGGCTTGGTGAAGCCTCAGATAGTGAGCTTGCTGATGCTGATAAGGCTTCAGTGGCTTCTGAAGTGTCCACTACAAGTTCTACGTCAAAACCTCCATCAGGGAGGAGAAGTATTTCCAGAATAGACTTACTTGCTCAACCTCGCAGAACTCGACTTGGCTCTTTATCGGCACGTAGTGATTCTGAAGCAACAATAACTAGAAGTACTGCCTCATCTCGTACCCCAGAAGCTATTATAAGAAGTGGTGCAAGGTTAACATCAGCAGGAGATAGTAGTAAAGTTTCTGCTAGAACTAGAGCCAATAGCATTTCTCGACTTTCAGATTCAAAATCCAAATCTTTGGCTTCAGCTCATAATTCTCCCTCAGGTATGTGAAATTATTTGAACTAGTTTTATACAATGCTAGATGTTTTTCATATGTGGAAACTTTTAAATTTTTTTTAGGGAACATTTTTAATGAAAAATTTGTCGACTTTTAGTTGATGCAGTCTTTCTCTTTGGAGGAAGCGGCTTCCTTGTCAGGGATTGTGGATGTGTCTCACTTAAAATCACAAAGACAAGAAATCATAATCCCTTAAGTGTTTGGATTTTTTTTTTTAAACTGGAAACCAGTAACAAAGAACTTCATTGATGCATTCAGATGCGGCAGCACTGATTTGCAGTAGTACAAAACCAGAGCAGAGATCTCTTTTCTCAAGTTGTACTAGTAGAAGTTCAGAAAGTCAGTAGCACTTTTTCCTACGTAGAAGATACAATATTTGTTTGTAAGGTAGGCTTGTAAATATGCTGAACAGGAAGTGTTCCCTGAGGTGTACTGTGAGCATCTGAAGGATAATTATATTTATATTTTAGGATTAATAAAAGTACAAAAATGAGATATGTTTGATAAGAATAATAATAATAAGCAACAAATGCAAAAAATAAACACAAACACTACCTAACTATCATACTTATTTATATTAAAATGTTTGCCTTGCCTTGGAGTAGTTTCTGTTCTCTGTTCCAAATCATGATTTATGATTTCATTATGATTTCCAAATCATGTTGATCTTCTCTTGTGTGGTAGTTCCTTTACTATAATATTATCTTATGTATGGAAGGAAAAATCCGTACAATTGATTAATTTTAACCTACTATTCTGTTAGAAGTTAACATAACACTTTAAGTGCTAGTAGTGTGCAAGGCTGCTAGTTTTTTTTCCAACAGCATTATTAAATAGATCAAAATTAAAATTGGTAATTCTAAATAAGTCAACTTTCATGTGGAATGAATATCGAGAATTGTGTCCTCTTACTTTTTGAATTGTCATACTACCAGCTTGACATTATTTGAAGCCAGTCCGTAATCTAAGAAAAAATAAATCTAATAGCTTCCAGTGTTGTGTGTTGCTACTGAGATTATATATTCTCTTCTACTGCTTCCTATTCAGAGTTGATATGAACACCTGTGATATTAGGTGTTCATATCAATTAAATTTCCCACAGTCCTACTGCCTTTTTGTTGCTTATATATCATTAATGTACCTTCTTAGGATTCTTAACAGTGCTTATTCCCCAGGCAGGTATCTTTTGGCTGTGTCATTTATTAGCTGAATAGAAATTTCTGTAGAGATACAAATGAGGTGTTCGCTGAACTGTAAAGTTGAATCTGTTTAATATTATGACGGGTGTCTACAAAGATACAGAAAAAAACCCTGTGAAACTTCAGAGAAAAACTCAGTCTTTCCTTGTAAGATATCATTGGAAAAGTAGCATGTTTTCATTTTTAATCAAAGTTTTAAATTGATGTGTACAGCCTGAAAGGTGGCAAC